CCACCCACTCTTGCACTAGAGAGTTCCCAAACCCCTACGCTTTTCACCCATCCACTTCATCCAAAATAAGTAGGTATTAGCAGGACTACTCAAGCTAGTACTGCAAATTTCAAAAAAATGACTGCCGCACCCTCATTAACACATTATTGAACAAAACCGCGATCTCACATTACCAAATGCCATCGCTCTTTCTGAAAGGATCCAAAAGAATATTCGAATCTCTAGGAGCTGAAAAACGTTCTCGATCGAATGTGCGTAGCAGGTCTAGATGATGAGCAGACAACCCTCCTTGCATCAAATCGACAAAAAGATCTAGAAAGCAAAGTTAGTAATATTCTTGACGTCCTTAACTAGAAGGCGTCATCAGAGAGTAATTTCGATCGGCAAAACGATCGAAAAGAAGGTCTGGTCAAAGTTGTCTTTCCATCAAAATCTCACTGGTATAGAGCCCTTTCTGAGCACCTTCTCGAGATGCTGGTTCTAAGCATGTTTTCATTCGTAGAAGTAAAACGACTGAGGAAGAACATAGAAGACGTTACGACAACAAGCGTTTGAACGTAATAATAAAAGTGGTGTACGAGAATGGATAGTTTATCGCGGCAGTTGAGACGTAGTAAGAACTCCCTTACAGGGTTCGGTAAACTCTGTTGCAAGTGATTTCCTTCAAGATTTCTAAGTCTGTTTTTATTTGTAATGGTCGTAGTCTAGTCACAAAATTGATCATCTACAGTCTCTAATTTGTCACTACACCCGTGATTTGTTATCTATCAGTGAAACATGGCTCAATGAATCCATTCTTGACTCAGGTTCATTGGTAATTGCTCATACTTCTTTATCGTCTTGACCGCAAAAAGCGAAAAGGTGGTGGAGTTTGCTATTTGATAAAAGGCAATCTTCAAATCACTTCAGTTGATCGTCCATTGTCTAGCACGGCCACGGCCGATTACCTTGAACTTGTCTCCCCCTTGAATGCAATCAGAACTCGCTTTGTTTTAGTTTACGTCCACCGAATTCCAAAAAAGATGAAGATGAGGAGCTGTTGAATGTAATGCGTAAACTAGCTGCAATGCAAAACAGAGCTTTACTCCTAGGAGACTTCAATCTTCTGATTCGTTGGAAAAACGCAGATGCAATTTCTTCAACTTCCAATTCTTTCTTGAATTTCTTTAATGAGGAATCATTTCAACAACATGTGCAACAACTGACCCATAGTAGAAATATTCTTGATATTATACTATCGACTTCCCCTAATGTGATGAACGTATCACTACTATCCCCGTTGTTCATGTCGGACCATGCAATTGTTAGATTTGGCCTGATGATTGGTATTGATCGATCTTACTCCTTTCCTATGCCCGACTTTCTGAGAATCGACTTCTCCGCACTCAATTCACATTTAGCGAATATTGACTGAGATAGACTATTTAGTGAATACATTTCTATGAATTACATATACCAAAGATTCTGTCATAGGCACTGTCAAGGTTTGTCCCCATGAGATTCCCTAAGGCTTTTTGCTTCAGATATCCTCCTCAAATTAAAAATCTTATTAACCAGAAGGGACGCTTATTTCACAGAATAGAAAACCCTCTAAATAATTCACTATACAATAAGGTCTGCTCCGATCTTGATTACCACTTAAAGAGATTTCTGGCCAATCATGAGCGTCGACTCGCTTCTCAGTCGTCGTCGAGACGGCTACACTTATATGTTAGAAGTAATCTCAAACCCAAGTCCTCCCTCCCAACCCTAACTGACCTACAAGGCTCACTAATTTTGAATGAAAATGCTAAAGCAGAAAGCCTTGCTCAGTACTTTGCGAGCGTTTTTTCAAAAGTTAGCTTCAATGATCAATGCCCATATGTCACGCAATTGTCCTGATATCTACTTCTCCCCCCACATGAGGTCTGTACCATAATCAAGAAAGAAACCTTCTCTGAGCAAACCGTTTGATGGCATTCCTCAGATCATATACAAAAAATGCTACAAATCCTTGAGTAAACTCTAGCTCTAATGTTAAACATTTCCTCCATGCTTGGTGTAGTTCCTCGACTATGGAAGAGAGCTATAATAACAGCCATCCCAAAATGCTCACAAAGGGTAAGTAACAAGTAAGCGATTATCGTCCCACTAGCCTCACTCCAACACCAGTCAAGGTCGTGTAGAAAATTATTTTTTTACAAAATTTTGAAATGGTTCGACAAGTTTCATTTGATCCCTGCCGAGCAACATGGGTTTATACCTGGTGCATCAACATGCACGAACATGATTGAAACACTCTACGACTTATGTAAAGCTGTCAATGATGGTGACTTCGTAGACATTATATACATCGATCTTGCAAAGGCATTTGATCGAGTTTGTCACTATAAATTGATAAGCAAACTTAACTCCTTTGGGATTCGTGGAAAACTCCTCAATTGTATCAATCCTTATCTACAAAATCGAGATATGACGGTTTGGGTGGCAGTTTCTCAAAGAGTTATCCATGCATCAGTGGGGTCCCTCAGGGAGGAGTAATATCCCCATTACTGTTTCTGATTTATACTTTTGAGTTGCCTCAAATGCTCAAAGCCTGTCCTAATATCAAAGTTCAAGTATAAGCAGATGACATAAAATTGTATGGGATATATCGCCAAGAAAACTCGATAGAAGTTCGTTCTGCCCCTCAGTTGTCAATTGATGAAATGTTAATGGGCTAAGTTCGAGATATTCCCCTCAATGTGTCCAAATGCAAAACGATGCAAATAGGATACAATGGGGCAGACGAATACAGAGCAAACGGTTCCACTCTTTCTTCTTGTGAGTTACTCAGAGATTTGGGAGTGATTTTCACATCTATCTCAAGATTCTCCAATCATATTGATCTTCTTGTAAAAATTCACGCCACATTTTACATGATTTTTAGGAATGTCCGCTGTTCAGATCCTGCTATACTTCTGCGCCTTTACAAATCTTACGTTTTGCCACACCTCGAATACTGCTCTCAAGTCTGGACCAGGGTCAAGCGAGGCGTCGCGGAAAATTCGGAAATACGACCCCCCCTCCCTCTGCCGAAAAACCCTCTTTAAAAGCCGAACTATGAAAAAGTTGTTTAATTCTCCACCAAAACTGCTCATAAAAAAGACCTGCTACCCCTCGTCCACAAAAAAACTCGTTTAAAAAGTATAAAAGTGAAAAAGTCAAAGAATGATCATTAATGACGAGTCCTATCAAACGAGCAAACGAGAAACGGAGCAAAAAACGTCAAACTAGTCACAAGAAATGGCGTACTACGACAACACCTCTTCTTTGTTTATTTCCTCCACAAGACTTACCAAATTCTAGTACTACACAGATTATGGTTCAATTTACACGTTCCCCTTTCGCTCAAAGAAGCCTTGTAAAAGCCTTCGCCAACTGTGTGTTGACTGGACTTTGGCGTTGACCGTGGAGCAGCTTATTTACTATTGAAATTTGAACAAATATTCAAATGATTATAACTTTCTTCTAAAGTTAACGAATCTTTCATCTAAAAGTGATTTGGGAGTTCTGTGAAGAGCTTTTTCAAATCGAGTACTGAAATCCGGAAGCTTATGAAATTAAGATTCAAATAACGAGGAAAATTCGAGACGAGCACGAGTTTTTACACTTTCCGGAGCAATAACTTGCCTTCATTTCCGTCAAATTCAAAAAGTTGAGACGTCATACAAAACTAGAAGATTTTCTCTATCGAACGGTCTACTAAAGCGTCTTTATACGTTCCAGTGCTTAAAAAATGGCCACGTTGAGGATTTTGCAAAAGTAACGAGGAAAATTCGTGATGGTGCGAGTTTTTACGCTTCCAAAGCCATAACTCGTTCAAACTCATGCAATCTGGAAAGCTAATACGTCGTCATAATTAGAAGATTTTGCTGTTATATATGGCAACTAAAACTGCCTATACGTTCCATATTTAAAAATGGCCAACGTGAGGATTTTGCCCGAGTACGCCGAAAGGTAACGTTTTTCGCTACATTAGCACTATCCCTACGACTATACCGTCCTTGCAGGAGCGTTAATAGCTAAAGTAAGAAGCAGATTCAAATCCTCCGTGCTTTCTCTCTGTAAAAAGTGTAAAATGTTTAGCGGTTCTCAACTTTAAAGGTCACATGCTTGTGAATTTGACGCTGAAGGCTGCGTTTCTTGTTGAATAGTGTACTCACTCTCTGTAATTTAACATGAACTCTTTCAGAACCCTCTTGATTCTTCCGTGAATTAAGATTCGTTTATCAAGCTAGCCGTAGCTGAAGCGCAGCGCAACCACTGAGCCCACTCTGGATGCGCGTGCGCTTCACTCTCGTTGGATTTGAGGACCTCTTGAAAATAAAATATCTCTTGGAAACGTATGAATTTCGGAATTCTTTGACTTGTGTGGTGATATGAAAAAAAAAAAAAAAAAAAAAAAAAAAAAAAAAAAAAAAAAAAAAAAAAAAAAAAAAAAAAAAAAAAAAAAAAAAAAAAAAAAAAAAAAAAAAAAAAAAGAACAAAAAAAAAAAAAAAAAAAAAAAAAAAAAAAAAAAAAAAAAACACTAAGTGCACTAAGAATTTGCTAAGCGGACACTCTAAATTCACGAAGGATTTGATATGTGCGACGCCGAATCAATTGTTATATATACTCGGCTTTTCGTGTCGATTTTGATCCTTGATATTTTGAATCTCCGACGATGACACTACTGTATGCAATCCGGCCCGACATCTCCCCAGCGGGCCAATACGCCCCCCCTCTGTGGACAATAGTCGAGGTTTCCTTTCAACGCACGCTTGCCTGGTCTGGACCCTTCATTTAAAGAAAGATATCGTGATAGAGAAACAAAGTTCATTCGTCGTTTATGGTACAGAACCCGCACAAACCCTCAACGCTCTGATCTCTCATCATATATAGATCGTTTGAGAAACTATTCTCTGAAGTCGTTGCAGTATAGGCGCACGATTTCAGACTTAGTCCTATGTTTCCGCATACTTCGTAGAGACATCAAATTACCTACTGGTGGATTCTGGATATTCAGACCAACAGCGAGCGAATAGGGAGTTTTAACCTTTATTTCGAATAAACAACGCAGGAAATTCCTTTAATGTTTAATATGATTTTCAATCGCTGTGCAAGATGGTTCGAGCTTCTGCCATCAAACGTTCTTCAATCCGCTAATAGCAAAATTTTTAGAGAAAGGATTGAAAGGCTTGACATTTTTCCTACTCTTCATATCTCAGAATATCGGAGGATGAGCTCATGCAAAAGAACTTTTTCCAACTTATGGTTTAGAAGCTGGTCCACGAAGCAAGGATGGCTGGGTGTTTCATGATCTCCTCTCACAGTTTTAGGAGCATCCACTGATGTGGTACCACTTACACTTGGTCTATAGTAGTTAATTCTCTCTGCAAACATCCGCCTAGCCTATAAGGCGACCTTTTTTAATCTCTCCGCTTCGAAGTCGAAATGTACGGCTTTGCAAGAACCTCGGCATGGTATATTGACATGGGTGAGACAGCGAGGCCACTCCATGTACGTATAAAAGAACACCTAAACGGCAAAAACAACTCTTGCCTGTCAACTGCCTTAGGGGCCCATAGGGTTCAAATCCATAACGGAGAGGATTTTGGGGTCACGGCCGAGGTCATGGCGCGCGAACATCAGACCGCAGCGCGAAAAACCCTAGAGGCATTCTGGATACAGGTCACTGGTCCAAAAATGAACCGGAGGGGAGAATGCCTTACTATTACGCGGGAGCTGAGGCCTTATATAAGGATGGCCTTTCACCAGTAACTCTACATCAAGTTTAGTCCGGATTGCTGTGTGTCCCACTACTGGTTCCGGGTGGTCTCGAGTACCGGACTAAGTTACGGTAAGTGGCCCACCTTGGTATTGCGTGATAACCTGTTTTGCTCTTGAATTTCAGTAGGATAGCGGAGGCGTTTGGTCGGATAGTCATAAATTGCCTCGATCCTTTCAGGCTCTGAAGAAGGCGACCCCGCCGGAACGTAAGCCAATAAAGTCTGCTTAACAACCTCGTGGAGAGCTTACAGAAGATATCAGCCATCTCTGCTTTGAATTATTTAATGCCAGCTATTGGTCCTGACCGGTGCTTCTATTACTGCTGGAACATCAATCCTCCTCATGTCGGTCAGACATTCACTCTCTGCCTGCATAAAAATACCGTCCACTATTCGAGAGGTGGTCAACAAGCTTCCAGATTCAGATTGCTCGGGTCAACAAGTTTCTGATTCTGACTGCTTTGGTCTGGGTCTTACGCCCTGGATTCGTGTTTAGATCAAAGAGGCATCTACTTTGGCTCGCCCGGGAATAACCTATGTTAGTTGCGTTGCCCAGACCGACCACGCTCTCCCTCGTTATCAACATTCACTTTCAAAGCAATACTGACAATTTTTTTAGTTCCTAAGGACACATCCTATACAGTTGGGTCGCTAATCTAGGCGTGTGTTGAAGTAAGAATTTATCTAGCAGTCAATTTTGTATTTATAAACACGATTATCTTAGGCGCACCTTGAGTGCAATAGTAAATAAATAATAAAAAAATATAGAAGGTTAGTTCCTGCATTATCGACACACATTTTCCCCTACGGTTCAATTTTGGATCCTTGAACTGTATCCAAAATGCCTCTAGGACTTTGCGCGCGGCTGTCTGGGTTTCGCGCGCCACGACCTCGACGACGACCTCAAATCGTCTCTGTTATGAGACTCCACCCCATGGCAACCGTGCCCTAGCCTTTCCTTCCAAATGCTCCCTTAGACGGACATGAAGAGGTCTAGCTGTCTTTCCTATATAATCGTCTCTACAAACTTGGCAAACAACCCTGTAGACAACCCCTGCGATGGCGCAGTTTCCTTCCCTGCCATTGGGACAGACCACAGTTTTCGGGCGCGCGTGTGTAGTCGTAGAGACGGTTTCGGACTAGGATTGCACTTGGCGGTTTCCAGCGCTTAACTCCTTCTGTATTCCACCGAAAATCTTCCGACCAGGACTAGGTTGAAGTTCAACATTAATAACTCCCAAAGCGTTGGAGCTAATCTACTATCCCTAGTTGCTTGTTAGCGCATTGCAATCCTCTATATCACCATATCACCAGTTAATATGATGAATAGCCGGCTCATTGAATGATCTATAGGAAGAAACTTGAGCATGACGATGCCAGATTGTGTTTGGAGCTCAAGGCATGTGGGGTCTAGACTCCACGTCCGCCAACCTTTGCAGCTCATCAGACAACCTATCCAGATTCTTTTTCAGCAGCGTCAGGTAGAGCGTTGTTATTGCCATTAACCGATACCAACCGGTACTCGCGAAAATTAAGAGCTACGAAGAGATTTTCGCAAAACCGGTATGATAGCTATAAGAAGTAGCGAGGTAACGAGGTAGTCAATTTGTCAAAATTGCGAAATTAGATGTTTCGTCAGCAAGCACATTGGGAATTTTCGGAGGTTTTCCACAAAAAAAAATCCAGCACGGTATGGAATTCCTTGTAGGGATTGTGGACCAACGTAATACATGGTGGAGGGATTGAACTCATCCATGAGCGCACTTCCATTTGGCTGTATAACTTGTCATGTTTTCTTTGAATTTGAAAGATCAAGTTTAGCTACGCAGTTCAGAGTTTAGTGTTCAAAAATCTTCGGTGAAACTCATTTTGATGCTACTTTTCTTGTGCTGCATAGAACCATTTCAAACTTGAATATATTCGGTAGAGGAGCCTTCCTGAACCAGAATATTCATGATGAGTGGGAGAAGAGTGAAGAAATACTTCTGCTGGAAGTTCTCGAGTAGACCAGATTTCAGATAAATTTCGGATCATGAAAAAACCTACTATTCAACAGAACAATCGATTTTATTATATATAACATAAGAACATGAACATTCACATAAACGTGAACTAAGTGTATTCAAAACGTTGCAGATAATCTTGCAGAGTCGCTGAAAATTCATCAGAGCTTAGGTGCGGAACCAGTCATCTTTCTGCATTCCCTCTGTTTCCATAGGGTATCGATGACGCACAGGATATGCAGATGAAGTTGTCCTGTTGCGACAAGTTCTCGAGAGCGCTCTTGACCTTTTATGCTTTGGATCACACTATATAAGAAGAAGCCAATTTTAGTGTCATACGTGTAGATACAAGACCTTTTTCGAAACCTGCCTGCATACCTCAGCAGTCATCTCCTTGAAATGGATATGCACACACCTGAGCCGGTGATGCCCGCTGGGCTCTAATTCATCTGGAGCGACGGGAGCGAATTTGGGATGTTTGATGGTGACGGCGGCGCGCACGTGTGGCATGCCGACAAGAAACGTTCCGCTCAAAGTGAAAGGGTAAGGAGGCTCGTAAAAAAGGTGGAATCAAAGCGTAGGACAGGACCCCTATCAAGTAGAAACAACTCAATTGCATACTCTGAGCGTCGAGCCAGGGAAATGGAAGAGAAACTCGTCATATTTGAAGAAAGACGAAAGGGTTTCTCAAATAGACAGTGAATTTATTTACTGGTTTCAAACTCATGCCTGTTATGATTCATCGACTCTAAAAATGTATCAGCAAATTATTGCCTCTGCTTAATGTTATTTATCGTGTCGTCAATTGTTCCGTTGACTTATAAGTTTTTACGATAATATATGAATTTCGAATATTTCATTCTTCACTCTTTCTGCACTCAATATGAATATGCCAGTTCAGTGAAGAAACTTTGCCTCCAAAACATAATAAAGTTTGAGTTGGTCTGATGTACCAGAATAACAACGAAAAAGTGTTTCGAACTATTTTAAGACGCCTACTGATTCATGCTAATCACTCGATAACTCTTACTAATTGGATATAATTGCCTAAAAATAATGCTTAACCTCTCCAACATTTTTCTTCAGAAACTAGCGTCCCACTCGTGCCGATGTCAATAAACATGTCATGAGATTCTCTTCCTGTGAAGGTCAGCCAACCTATTTTGACAAGTTGGTATTTGAATTCAAACAGCTTGATGCGCATTAGAATCGGGCGATTATTCTCGTGTCAATACTGAAATGAGGATGAAGCACACTCTAATCACCCACGATCAGCTCTCCAAATGCTAAATTCCAAATAATAACATAGACCATTATGCAGAAGATCTCAAATAATTAAAGACGGTTCAACTAAAACTCGCTACGATATCGCAAATGTAATGTTTCATTGCCATCACCTCGCACACATAAACAACGTTACTTCGATGCTTCTGTCCTACCATCTACGTTTCTGTCCTAACTCCTACAAAAATAGGAGGACGATGTTCTAAATTCATGCAGAGCACTGAGAGCTGGTTCTCCTACGGTTCTAACTCTCTCATGTTTATCAGCTTTCGATCCCCCTTTTCCTCCCGTCCCTCATCATACGACAGATGAGAATTAAGTAAGCCACCATCGTGCCAACACTGATGGCCCCAAGATTGGTGATACTTGCATTCTACAATTCCTTGTTACGGCCTGTCAGTTGCTATCACTATTCATTACCTATCGTTGGTGTCGCATTCCACATTTTTCATGTAATCTCTGCTGCCAACGTGGATGGAGCGACGGAGTGCTGACAACTGTCCTTCCTGATGTCCTTTATCAGCTCTTGCCAGCTTTTATCATTACTTTGAGCAAAACTTAATAGTAAAGAAAAACTCTCAGACAAACACATTTTGCGAAGCAGATATGGTGGGATCTTATCAAGACCGACATCGAAAAAAGGAGTAGGAAATGAGGAATTATTCCGAACATCGTGTATCACATGCACGCAGCATAAAAAGCGTAACATTTTCGATATATCACGACTAAGGTCGCAAATTGACATTTTTTCGACCTCATTTACTGAACAAAATTATTTGAATGCAAAAAGGTTTGCACTAAGGCAAAAAATCAACGTACAGGACCTGCAAAAATAGAGATCTTTCGCTTCTCCATGAAGGGTCTGATATGAGTGCAAATATGGTATGACCACTCCTATGGTATTAATGCTGCATCGCAAACCATGACCATTCATAACTAGTTTTGGAGAGTAGTTCTACAGTTCTGCTC